CTGTAGTCCCAGCTACTCGGGAGGCTGAGGCAGGAGGATCGCTTGAGCCCAGGAGTTGGAGGTTGCCGTGAGCGAGGCTGACACCATGGCACTCACTCTAGCCTGGGCAACAGAGTGAGACTCTGTCTCAAAAAAAAAAGAAAAGAAAGAAAGAAAGAATTCCACTCTGCTTTTCCCTGGGATATATATCCATGTTCTGAGCATGGGAAAGCATCCTGGCTGGTCCTGAGTGTCATCTGTCCACACCGGCATTCAAGGAGGCTCCCACTGTCCTCCACGGGCCTCTCTGTGGAGTCTGTGCCCGTCATTTTGCACCCACATGTTGCTGCCGTCTGCACAGCATCTGGGGCAGCAGCTTCTTCTCTGTTCTAGGCTCTCCCAGGGCCACGAGGACCCTGATCTTGCATGTGTGCCATGTTGTGGCACCAAGGACTCTGGGTGGGAATGTGAAGTGTATGCAGCCCTAAAAGGAAAATCCCGAAAGAAGAGCCGTATCCTACTCCTAGGATTCTCCTTGGTGGAAGAAAGGGCAGGTTTCTCTGCAACTCTTGGATACCCCCCAAAGCAGTCTGAGGTTACAATGATCTTCCAGCTTGGCCAGGAGGGCGTCTTCAGTGGGTGGTTTCCCCTCTGACCCTCTCCCTGTCTCTAGCCCAGGTTGTCTGCATGAAGATGTTACCAGTCTCCACGTGGAGGTTTTTCCAAGTTTTTAGTGTTTGTGGGAAAGAATTTCAGGACGCACCACCTAAGCCAAGCGAGCAATAGCTTTATTGCAAACAAAAGTATACTCTCAGGGAAGAGAGAGCGGGCAGGCTCCAAAAGAGCAGCTATGCTGAGAGGAAGTGAACTTAGACCCTTTTGTAGTCTTACTAATGGAGGGAGGAATATCCAAGGCTAAGGGGTTGGCTCTCACTAAGAATTTGCCTGGTAATCCCTAGAATTGGGTTCCCTCCCATTTTCGTACTTTATACGGTTGTCTTGGGATTATGGCGATTTCCAGGGTGGAGAACTTTGAAAATCATAATGTAAATGATATCGTAATTAGCCAAAATTTATATAAGGTGGCAAAGAGAGCTGACAAGTGGGAAATGGGTTCTTGCCTGCTGTTTGTCAGCCCCCTCTAGTTAGCTTCTGCTCAAGAGCTTTTTGTTTAGCACCTGCACCTGATCTTCAAGCCCCTGCATGTCGTCTCAGCCCTGTTTCCTGGGCTCCTATTCTAGCAGAGGGACTGGTTGGGGTAAGGAGGAACCTTGTTACCAATCATGATGTTTTCTTATATTTTGTTTTTGAGGGTTTTTTGGGGGGGAGGAGTGGGAGTAACCCGATTTCTTTCCTCAAATCCTAGTTATTGAGACAAAAGCTGGCCAGACCACTTTTGTTTGGCTTTTCACTTGGTCACATTCCTCCCCAGGGACAGTGGGACCTTATCTTATAAATGATGGGACAAATAAGCAAAGAAGATTCTTGGGGGAAACTATTAGGAAGCAAACCTCTCTTGACTCTGATTTTTTTAATTTAGAGGATATCAGTTTTGTCTCCATAGGAGGAAACAATACAGCAGAGTTTGCCATGCGTAAAATGTTGGAGTCCATCAGGATGGGCTTGAATTTAGGATCTACTACTTATTAGCTGTGAGCAAGTAATGCAACTCCTCCGTGCCAAAATCAGCTTCGGTAATGATAAATTCCTTTGGGAGTTTAGATCAGGGAACTTGCTTAAAGCCAACGAATATGAGGATATTTCCAATTTTCCTCCAATCCCTTTAACTTTTTGATTTCTAACCACTCTCTACCATTCTCAACTTTCAGTGCCTCCAAGACAGTCTTTTTACTTCTCTTAGATCTTAGTTAAATTTTTGACTGTTCTTTCAAAGCCAAGATCTTGTCGGTTTCAAAGTTTTTCTCTTCCTGTCTTCCATGTTGATTTTAAGTCTTCCTGCTTTTTCCTTGAGGGAAAAGGGGCAACTTGCAGTCTTGTGGAATTGTGCAAGTCATCTAGCTGTCGGTCAGAAGACAAGAATATCCAATCTGTTACGTAAAAGCTTCACGATGTGAATGTACTTAATGCTATAGAACTGTATACTTAAAATAGTTAAAATGGTAAATTGTACTATAAAATATATATATATATATATATATTTTTTTTTAAATCAGCATTCAGTGTCTAAACACGAAGCATTCATAAACCCAAGAAGATAACCCCAGACACTCTGTTATATCTGTCAGATGATGAAGTGACCATCAAACATTCAAATCATCTTGTGTGGTCAGCCGCCTGCTCTGCAATGCAAAGAGCTTGCTCTGCTCTTTAGCCCTTTGCACTCACTTGCTTTATTCCTCGATTCCTTTATTCTCAAGATTTAATTTTCTAAATACCCCAGATTTTACAAAGCACGGCAGTAGGATAAAAAACTGGAGTTTCTTTTCATACAAACTTATTTATTTGGATTTTTTTTATATCTCGAATTATTGATACATTTAAAGAGTCATTTTAATCTCTATAATTTTTCACGGTGTGAGCTGCTACCGCTGCTAACCGTGTGGAGTCACAATCGACATCCGGGTGCAAAGGGTTAAACTTTGCTCATGCAGTTGTCCATTCAATAACCACTTACTAAGACCCATGCCACATAAAGGGCACCAGCCCGGATGTTGTGAGCATGTTCCTGTCATCTTTTCCCATAGCCTTTTTCTTTGTTTCACTCAGATACCCGTGGAGACCTGGAAAGAAAAAAAGAAACTCACTGATAACACCCGTAAGCTAGATGCAAGTCAGCCTAACTCTAGCATCTGTGAAAGATCGATGCTAATTATAAAGCAAAGAGACTGAATGGAGGCATCTTCTCACAGATCAATCAATGGTGAGGTACTTTCTAGGCATGGATCCCAGCAGAATTTAGAATACAGTAAAGGTTTTTTTTTTTTTTACAAGTAGTTATAATTTATGATAGAAAGGATTTTCTCCATCCAGTGCTGTCTTTGTGCCCACATGGGTCTGATTCTCCAGGCTGCTTCTGAGTTCATAGATCCATGGTTTTCAAATACAGTGCTGTGTTTGAACAAATCTTAATTACTTTTAAACTATACTCTTTAATTCTTTAAAATAAGGTGATATAGCCCGGACGCGGTGGCTCACGCTTGTCATCCTAGCACTCTGGGAGGCCGAGGCGGATGGATTGCTTGAGGTCAGGAGTTCGAAACCAGCCTGAGCAAGAGCGAGACCCCGTTTCTACTATAAATAGAAACAAATTAATTGGCCAACTAAAAATATATAGAAAACATTAGCCGGACGTGGTGGCGCATGCCTGTAGTCCCAGCTACTCGGGAGGCTGAGGCAGGAGGATCGCTTGAGCCCAGGAGTTGGAGGTTGCTGTAAGCTAGGCTGACGCCACAGTACTCACTCTAGCTTTGGCAACAGAGTGAGACTCTGTCTCAAAAAATAAAATAAATAAAATAAAATAAGGTGGTATTAAATTAAACATATTGCAAAAGAAAAAAAAGGCTTAACATAGGTTTACCTTATGAACTAAGGCGCTACATGGCCTAACCAACTCAAAACAACACAAGTCGGTGGTAGAAAAAAAACAAATACCGGTATCCCTTGGTGTAAGGTTGGTTCCAGGATCTCCTATGTACTCAATTTCTGCAGTGGGCCCTGCAGAACCCGCTTGTATGAATAGTCAGCCCTCCTTGTACGTGGGTTTCACATCCGGCCTCTCTTTTCACATCTGTCTTTGAAAATAATTTGCAGGTAACTAGATCCGCTCAGTCCAAACCTCCATTCTTCCAGGGTCAACTGCGTCCTCTCTTAACAACTGAGCAACTATCCTGCAGTCTGTCATTTTGCGTATTTTGATATTCAGCTTAAAATGTTCTCGTGTGCTTTCATTTGTGTGCGTCTCATCTTTCCACCTTGGTGGTTAGTTGGAAGTTAAAGTCTGTCCTGGGTTTGCATCTCTTAAAAGCAGATGGTAGGGTCTTTTGTATCTGAAGGGAAGAAATGGCAGAAGGGCTGCAGTGGGTCACTAATGCCTACCAGGGGCTGGAGAACAAAGATTAGAGGCAAAGTGCAAATGATTTGCTAATTCTGCTTACAGGAACATGACATACGCTTATTGATTATGGAAAGAGTCACCAAGAAAGAGAGCCACATATTTCTCTTCTGACTTTATAGCCAAATAAATATGCAATTTCCATTGCAGGTGTCTCTTCTCGCTTGGAGTTTATTTCCTAGAGTTTTTAATAATGATTTAAAATTACTTAAGACTATTGGATTAAAATATAGCAATCATATCGCTGCTTCTGTGATAAGCTCTCTATTGCTTTAATTGCTAATTTAGGGACGACTGAGTTTAGAGAACAAAACTTAAGGAAAAAAAATAATTAAACACCCCCAAAAAAGATTTTGAGACAAGAGGAACGGTGCCAGAGCCTACATTGACATGTTTGCATTTGAAATCAAACCAGAAGTGTCAAAACCCATCTGTTGAGCATCAGGCTTCCAGCGGGTGATTGGCAACTTTCAGAATCTCCTTTTTTTGGGAAATAAGAAAGATCCTAAACGTATTATTATTATTTCAAAGTCTGCAGTGGTTCAGGGGAACAGTCGAGAGCGGACGCGAATGGCAGCAAGGCGAGAGCACGGCCCGCCGCGCCGTCCGCGGGTGACCTGCACGGTGCTGGGAGCCCGGAGCCGAGCCGTCCCGGGCCACGTCTGCCCCGAGCACCGCGCAGTTAGTTCCAGCCACGCGTGTTTCGGCTCACAGCCGCCACGGGGCGCAGATCCCACTTTTGTCATGTTGGCTACAGATATTTCCTTCTGACAGATGGGGCTCTCCTTTCCGAGGGAGGAAGTGAAATTCCAGAGGGTGGATGAGAGTAGGAAGCTAGGCGCTTGGGCAGACGGAGGAGCCCGGGTTCCTCTGACGGGTACGAGAGCTGCCGAGAGCCGGCCCTCAACACAGAGGCTCCGTGCATGCGCCGGGCACGAGCCGCGCAGAGTTCCAGCAGGTTACTGGGCCCTGGTGACTTCCTTTTCTTGTCTCCCGTGGGTGTGTTAGGTGAGGATTGGAAATAAGAGTATTACGTTTAGGTATTTCTCTTCATTTTCGGATATGGATCAGAAATGTATGAATAGCGTGTTGGCTGAAAATGCTAAAGAATAAGGCATTTACTCTTAAAAATAATCACACTTTATTTAATAAATACTGAAGAACTTTGGGGAAGTTAGATTTCTTTTGGATTCTGAGATCTGAATCCAGAAGGAAGTAAAGAAGGAAGGAAGGAAGGAAGGGAGAGAAGGGAAGGGAGAGGAGGAGGAAGGGAGGAGAAAAGGGGAGGGAGTGGGAAGGCAAGGAATGGGAGGGGAAGGGAAGGGGAGAGTGAAGAAGGGCCTAGGGGATGGGGAAGGAGGGGAGGGAGGGAAGGGGGGAGGGAAGGGGGAGGGAGAGGGGAGGGAAGGGGAGGAGGGATGGAGGGAGGGAAGGAGGAGGGAAAGGAAGGAAGGAAGGAAGGAAGGAAGTTCAAGGAAGGAAGGAAGGAAGGGCAGAGGAGAGGAGAGAAGAGGAAGAAAGAAAAAGATGAAGGAAAGGAAGATGAAAGAAAATAAAGAAAGAGAGAGAGTTGTGAGAACAGGAGAGAGGGGAGAGGGAGAGAGGAGAGGAGGAGAGAAAAGAAAGAAAGAGAGAGAGAGAGAAAGGAAAAATAAAGAGGGATAAACAGGGAGGAGGGAGGGAATTGGGGGCTTTCTCAGCATCTTTGATGTCTGTGAGTTTGACGATCCTGTCACATGGGTGACTAGGGGAGAAAGGAATGGAAGAAAGGAATGACAAGAAAGAAAGAAAGAAAGAAAGAAAGAAAGAAAGAAAGAAAGAAAGAAAGAAAGAAAGAAAGAAGAAAGAGGAGAGGAGAGGAGAAAGAAAGAAAGAGAGAGAGAGAAAGAAAGAGGGATAAACAGAGGGAGGGAGGAAGGAAGGAAAGGAAGGAAGGGGAAGGAAAGGAGAGAAAGAGAGAAATTGATATCCAAAGGCAATATTTGAAGATTGAAGAGCAAAAAATCACTTGCTTTACATATAAACACACAGTGCATGCACACATACGTATTTATACATACAAACACAGCAATATACATATACGCATCCATCAGAACAAAGCCTTACGGCGTACACAGTCACAGACGCGTTACAGGAGCAGCAAAGGTAAAGACGGCGAGGCGTCTGCCGCGGACCTGGGCGTACTGGAACGTGTGGTCTGTGTTTCCTTTAAAAGCTATATGCCAGGTGGCACCTGCTCTTGGTCCTCTCCTTGACACCAAGCTGGGAAGACGGGCACTGTGATCTCTACTCGAGAGTCCAGGAAACCGAGGTCGTGCGGCCATCAGCTTGAGTGCTGATGCTTGAGGCAGGCTCATCCCTGTCACTCGCAAGGAAGGCTTACTTTGCCGTTGGTGTTTTATGTTACCCGTTGGCAATTTACATGCTCTAATAAATAAGTAGACTGTTCACACCCCATGACAGCGCCACCATTGTGCGTCATGGTTTTTCTGTAGTTACCAAAGCTGTTGAGATACGTCCCATCGTGCAGAAAATAGCATGCTCTATGCCTTTCTCAGGAACCTTCTAAGGCAGGCGTCCTCAAACTGCAGCCCGCGGGCCACATGCCACCAGCCAAGGACATTGATCCTGCCCGCCACTGGGTGTTTTTGCCGCCGCTGCCTGTCCTGCTTAGCAGCCGACGCGTCCCGGGCCCGCAGTGCGCACTCTCCAACGGTCTGAGGGACAGGGGACTGCCCCCTGTCTATAAAGTTTGAGGACCCCTATAAAAGCTCTAGTAAGTAGAACTCTTGACGTAGTAACCACTTTTTCTGAAATCGCTCTTGGAAGACGCATGTGATGAAGGATTTTTCTATCAATAAGTAACAATCTGGTGTACGGACTTCGGATGTCAGATTTTGGAATTTCTAAATATTTTTTTTTTTATGATTTACAGGGTTTCTGTGGTACAGACTGTTGTGGAAGGCAAGCACATGCGGTTTATTGTATACTGTTATAATAAATGTTAGGTAAGTCTTTAAGTTAGTAGCGATTAATGGAAAAAGCTACCTTCTTGAATGTAGTGGAATTCGGGCATTTTCCCGTGATCCCTCTTATTGATGCAGAATACGTTTATGTTTCTTTTTGTGGAAGCTTCTCTAGAAAACTCATTCCATCCTGTCCCCTGCTGTGTCTCAGGCATGACACTTCTCTCCACGGCTCTACACAAATGGAAAAAAAAATAACTTTATTTTGAAATATTGTCTCGCCAATGGAAACTTGGGTGTTTCATGTTTCAAACTAGAGGAAATGTCCAGGTTTGACAGTCGTGTGTGATTATACATGCGTGCTATTCTTCAGCACCCTTGGGAAGTGCTCCCTGAGTCTGATTGTACCCACTGACCAGGAAAGGAAACTTCTGACGTTCACGTCCCTCAAGGCCTGCTTTTTTTCCTGCCGTCTCTGGGCTCTTTGGAAATTCTGAATAAACCCCGCGTGTTCTGTGCTCTCTTCCAAGGAAGCCTTTTGTCTGTGTGTCTCATTCCGGGGCCTTTCCCAGTATCATAACCCAGGTTTACGGAAGCAACTCACAGCGGTGGGATCTGACAACACAGCCCTAGTACTTTGCGTGCCGTCGAAGCAACCTCTAGGAAATACAGTTTGTGTTCTGTTTGCCATGCTTTTGTGGTATTGCCACATGATGTATACTTACTTGTATACATTCTGACAAAAATGTGTCGTGCATTTTTTAATTAGTGATTCTCAGCAAAGGAAGCATGCTTGCACCATTAAGCGTCCCTTCGGTGGGAAATTGCGTGTACCAAGAGTTATTCAGGCATTATCTTGTTTAAACTTTGCAGGTGAAGAAACCGAGGCAGAGGATGAACTCACATAAGCAGAAAGTAGTGAGGCTGCGAAACCTAGCCTTTCAGATTCCAGAAGCAGGCTTTTAACCTTTATTTTACAGGCTATATAACTCCCTGATACAGTTTTATCTACTTCTTCCTAGTAGAGTAGGAAAACATAGAAGGAGCATGTGTTGTGATTTTTCCTACCCTTTGATAAAAATGTATTTATTCTCTAATGTATTCCAGTATAATTTATTACGTTAAAGAGAGAGCCATTGTCTGACTTGCGAACTTAGCCCAAGAATAAATGCCACTGAGGTTAGCTCTCTCTTGCAAGAAAGCAAAAATCATAATTCATCAGTAGCGAATTTTTGTCCAAATTTTAGTTTATATGTGGTCATGGCAAGTATCAAACCAGTATATATAAATGAAATTTCTGTCTTCTTACTTTAATTTCTGCCTGTCTACATCTGCACGCAAAACAGATGAACTCACTGAGCTAACAATGAAAATTTCCTTTTGTTTGGTTTGACATAATGTAACTGCAATGATGTAATTGTTTTTTTTTTCCTTTGAAAGGGTCTCTTAGTCTGCATCCTAGTCACGTGATTTCCTCTACCCTATTGGCTACCCTTTACGTTTTCTAGTTTGCAGGCTTATTGCGTGTTATCCGATTCAACATAACTTTCTGCAGTGACAGGAATGTTCTACACTCTTCTGCCTACTATGCCTCTAGCTGTATGTGGTCATCAAGACTGAGGGAACTGGATTTCTAATTTTAGTTAACTTTTGATTCAAAACCGAACATTGCATATTTTAAGGACCTAATACAGTGTGTTGAAAAAAACATATTAAAATTAACTTATGCTTCTTTTTCCTTTTTTAATGTGGCTACTGGAAAATTTAAAAATTATATTTGTGGGATGGGCACAGCAGCTCACACCTGTAGTTGATTTAAACAGCCACATGTGGCTGGTGGCTGCCACATTGGATAGCACGTGACTAATTAGTTTTTGATGCCTGAGATCATTCTTGAGCCCAAAACGTGATAAATGGGGGTCTCGGAATTTGGAAGAGAACTTTCAAAAGCAGTTCTTAAGTATCATAGAACGGAGAAGGTTTTCTTTCACAGTTGACTTTTAACCAGTTTTTTTCATAGGCATTCATGAGACTGACCGTTTCTAATCACCTTTGTAAATAAAGAAGAGCCAAGAGGCACTTGGGGTTTTGTGCAGGTGTTCAGTGATTCATTTGCTTCTGAACCTGCCAAATGTGAGCACTTTGTATTTGCCACATTAAGACTGCAAAGCAGTCAGCCAGCCAGCGTCCCGGACTTGGTTTGGCTTTTCAGAGCACATACGAATGCACAGCTTGCGGCCGATGTAAAGCATGTGGAGAGAGCCCGTGGAGAATTATTTTTCTTTCGTGATTGAACGCTAGTACTTGGTGGTATGTGGAAAAACAGTCTCTTGCTTGTATAGGCCAACAGCTGTTGTTATCTGAAAAATAATCATCATGATAGAAAGCACACATTTTTCATGTTTTTTGGCAGATCTGTCAGAATATGTTCTGTGTTAAAATATGCATGTTTCGTCTGAAAAAAAATGTAATTGGTAATTTAATTTCTTTTTTAAAAAAGTTCTTATCCAGAACCAGGAGCACACACTATCTTTGTTTTATAACTTCTATAGCAGCAGTTTTTTAAAACTTCTATGCTGCGAATAGAAATATAATGCAAAGTATAATATTTGCAAAAATTACAAATGTAATTTTTTTAGAGAATTTTTTGTGTGTCTTGCCCTGTTGCCTTGACTAGAGTGCAGTGGCATCATCATTGCTCACTGCAACCTCAAACTCCTAGGCTCAAGTGATCCTCCTGCCTCAGCCTCCCAAGTGGCTGGGACTACAGGCGCACACCACTATGCCAAGATAATTTTTTTTTATTTTTTCATAGAGATCAGGGGGTCTCTATATTGCCCAGTCGGTTCTTGAATTCCTGACCTCAAGTGATCCTCCCACTTCAGCCTCCCAAAGTGCTGGGATTACAGATGTGAGCTATTGTGCCCATCTCACAAATAGAATTTTTTAAATTTTCCAGAAGCCACATTAAAAAAGGAAAAAGAAACAGATAAACTAATATTAATACCGTTTTTTCAACACACTGTATTAGGTCCTTAAAATATGAAATGTTCAATTTTGAATCAAAAGTTTATTATATCTCTTCAATAAGAAGCAGTGCAATTAATAGATGTGGTTAAACTATCCACACAGTGTTGCCATCTTAACGGTGGCTTGCTTATGCCAGCAGCAAAGAAGCTTGGAGAGCGAGTGGTCATGAAATCACAAAAGGCATTTTCCACAGCTTGTTGAGAGTTGAACGCTTTCCCCTGTAAGAAGTGGTCCAAAGCCCGGGAAGAAGTAGTAGGCGACCGGTGCAAGACCTGATGCATATGGTGGACGACAGAGAGTTTCCAAGTCCAGCCGCTGCAGTTTGAGCAGCGTTGTTTGTGTGACATGTGGTCCAGTGATTGTGTCTTGCAAGACGATTGTCTCTCCTGACCAATCTCAGCCGCTTAATCGCAAGAGTCCTCATCATTTCATCCAGTTGGTTGCAGTGGACATCCGCTCTGATGGATTGATCAGGTTTCACGAAGCTGTAGTGGGTAAGGCCAGGGCTAGGCCACCAAACAGACGCCACTAGCTTTTTTTTTGATGACTATGTGGTTTTGGACAGTGTCTCCAGCACTTCACCTTTATCCGACCATTGTGCCCAACGCTTGCGATCGGAATCCATTTTTCATCACACATAACAATACGGTGTAGGAACGGTTCACCTTTATGCCATGACAGCAGAGGCAAGCTGTGAGACAATTTCTTTTCTGATGCTCGTTTAATTCATGCAGAAGGCATCTAACCAGCTTCTTTACCTTGCGATTTGTTTCCAGTGGTCCAATGTTGTTGGGATAGTAACAAGTCGAACCTTGCTGCTGATTCACCTGCAGGTTGAGACGGATTCGCTTCCACGAGAGCTTGCAGCCCACCATTCTCCACCTGGGCCTCAGGTGGCCCATGTGGCTCATTTTCAAGATTAAAATCACCACAATGGAACTTTTCTTTCTTTTTTCTTTTTTTACTGGTGATTTTCATTTTATTATTTATTTATTTACTTTTTATTTCAGCATCTTATGGGGGTACAAGTGTTAAGGTTAATCACATTGCCCATGTCCTCCCACCCCTCTCGAGTAAGAGCCTCAAGCGTGCCCATCCCCTAAACGTTGCACATCTCACTCGTGTTTGTATACACCCGTCCCCTTCTCCCCACCCCCCCTCCCACCTGCTCGACATCCCATAAATGTGATTCCTATATGTCCACTGAGGTGTTGATCCGTTAATACCAATTTGCTGGTGAGTCCATGTGGTGCTTGGTTTTCCATTCTTGGGATACTCCACTTAGTAGAATGGGTTCCAGCTCTATCCAGGAAAATACAAGAGGTGCTAGATCACTGTTGTTTCATAAAGCCGAGTAATAAGTACTCCATGGTGTACATGTACCACATTTTATTAATCCACTCATGTATTGATGGGCACTTGGGTTGTTTCCACAACTTTGTGATTGTGAATTGTGCTGCTATAAACATTCGAGTGCAGGTGTCTTTTTCATAAAGTGACTTTTGATCTATTGGGTAGATGCCCAGTACTGGGATTGCCGAATCAACTTTTCAAACCATCAACGTACCATGCGTTCATTAGCCACATCCTTCCCAAACACTGTCTGCATAGATAGCTTCGGTTCCGTGACAAAACTCACATTCAAAAATAACATGCCTTTTTGACTTATCTGTGGTTTCATGAAAATTGCTCTAAAAAAAACTTGAAAGATAATCACAAGCCAAAACATGTGTTTGAAAGAATAAGGATGGACCTTCATGATAAAAATAAAACTAGAAGGGTCAAAGTGAAATGTCAGAGCTATCAACTGTGTAACTTAGTACTTAAGGGAGTCGGACATTTCATACTTAATAACTTATTAACTTAATAACTGATTTTAATTTGTAAGCGATATAAAATTAATGAGATATTTTATGTTCTTTTTCTACTATAAGCCTGAAATTCAGGGTGTACTTAACACAGCACGCGTTAGGCTGGGCTTATGTCAGGTTCTCAGGGGTGACATGTGGCAC